TCTTTGAATTTTGAATCATTTGCCTGGGAAGATATATGAGTGAAAAACTTTCACACCTCACACCCAGACACCCTGAGCTGTCTCAATCCACATCCTTGTGCTGTCTGAAAAAATCCACCCCAGGGAGAATGCTTGTGAAAGTGTCAGTTGGTAATGTCCTTCATTCACCCATCCATCTACTTCGTTACTTTCATCTGAAGGAGGTTAGCTTTTTTGTCCTCTTTTCGGCAACCTAAATCAAGATAATGGGGATCAGTGCTCCAGACAAGACACCCGGAGCTACAGAAATCCAAGTGGATTTACAATCCACATTCTAAAGCTCGCCTTTCCCATTTAAGGAGATTAGATCACCACTAGACGAGGATTCACAGTCAGTTTGAGGGATATGAATAAGTTCCATCCCATAGCTTTTCTCAATTTATTTACCCATTATTTAGTTGAAAAGGATTGTTCATCTTTACTCCTTCCCAATCATTTGCACGCTCCTTTTAACTTTCATGGTAGGCAATCCATTTTCAAAACAGATTAAAATGGAGCGGTGTGATTAAAGTCACAGCAGCGCTATTGGGAAAGAATTACAGAGTAAATTAAATAGTACCTTTGACAGAATGCAGTTGGGGCAGAGAAGAGCTGATAGCAAGAGTATTATATTCCTTACATGCCTTCTTTAGGGCACTTACCTACAAAAAGAGAGCCTTTTCTGTAATTTATTTATTTATTTATTTACTCCATTTGTATACCGCATTTATCAGCCTGGAGCGGCGACTCAATGCGGTAATATTAAAAACTAAAAGGGAATGCCCTCCTGCAGGATTCATACTGCATAACAACATTGCATTCTTTTTCATGCCATAAAACTTTCTTATCTGAATATGGTTTTAAAAAAATGATTGTAAATACAGGAGCAGAATTCAAAACGATCTTGACAGATTAGAGAGATGGTCCAAAACTAACAAAATGAAGTTCAACAGTGACAAATGCAAGATACTCCACTTTGGCAGGAAAAACGAAATGCAAAGATACAGAATGGGGGACAATGCCTGGCTCGAGAGCAGTACGTGTGAAAAAGATTTTGGAGTCCTTGTGGACAACAAGTTAAACATGAGCCAACAATGTGATGGGGTGGCAAAAAAAAAACCAATGGGATTTTGGCCTGCATCAATAGGAACATAGTGTCTGTCTAGATCTAGGGAAGTAATGCTACCCCTCTATTCTGCTTTGGTTAGACCACACCTGGAATATTGTGTCCAATTCTGGGCACCACAGTTCAAGAGAGATATTGACAAGCTGGAATGTGTCCAGAGGAGGGCGACTAAAATGATCAAGGATCTGGAGAACAAGCCCTATGAGGAGCGGCTTAAAGAGCTGGACATGTTTAGCTTGAAGAAGAGAAGGCTGAGAGGAGACATGGTAGCCATGTATAAATATGTGAGAGGAAGTCACAGGGATGAGGGAGAAAGCTTGTTTTCTGCTTCCTTGGAGACTAGGACGCGGAACAATGGCTTCAAACTACAAGAGAGGAGATTCCATCTGAACATGAGGAAGAACTTCCTGACTGTGAGAGCCGTTCAGCAGTGGAACTCTCTGCCCCGGAGTGTGGTGGAGGCTCCTTCTTTGGAAGCTTTTAAACAGAGGCTGGATGGCCATCTGTCAGGGGTCATTTGTATGCAATATTCCTGCTTCTTGGCAGGGGGTTGAACTGGATGGCCCATGAGGTCTCTTCTTTGATTCTGTGATTCTATGATTCTACTGGTTGCTTACTTACTTAGGCGATCCCTCGTTGTCTGAGTAGGATAGTCTTCCAAGATCAGTGTACTGGTGTGTCCGGAGGTGACAGTGGAGCCCTATTCTTGATCTGCATCTTCTCCCACAGTGAGGGCATTGGTTTCCAGGTGGAAGGTGACCCTGGTTGGGCTTGGCTTGATGCGCCATCCTCTTGGCACGTTTCTCTCTATTGCCCTCCATTCGTGCCTCTTCAAATTCTACAGCACTGCTGGTCACAGCTGACCTCCAGGGCCAGGGCTTCCCAGTTCTCAGTGTCTATGCCAGAGTTTTTAAGGTTGGCTTTGAGCCCAAATTTAAATCTCTTTTCCTGCCCACCAACATTCCATTTTCCGTTCTTGAGTTCAGAGTAGAGCAACTGCTTTGGGAGACAGTCGCTGGGCATCCAGACAATGTGGCTGGTCCAGTGGAGTTGATGGCGGAGGACCATCGCTTCAATGCTGGTGGTCTTTTCTTCTTCCAGCACGCTGACATTTGTCCGCTTGTCTTCCCAAGAGATTTGCAGGATTTTCCGAAGGCAGTGCTGATGGCATCGTTCCAGGAGTTGCATGTGACATCTGTAGACATTCCACGTCTCGCAGGTGTATAGCAGGGTTGGGAGGACAATAGCTTTATAAACAAGCACCTTGGTATCCCTACGGATGTCCCGGTCCTCAAACACTCTCTGCTTCATTCAGAAAAAAGCTGCACTCGCCGAGCTCAGGCGGTGTTGTATTTCGGTGTCAATGTTGACTTTTGTGGAGAGGTGGCTGCCAAGGTAGCGGAAATGGTCAACATTTTCTAATGTTACACCACTAAGCTGTATTTCTGGCATTGGAGAGGGATTGGCTGGTGACTGGTGGAAGAGCATTTTGGTTTTCTCGATGTTCAGTGACAGGCTGAGCTTCTCGTATTCTTCTGTGAAGGTGTTTAGAGTGGCTTGTAGGTCTTCTTCTGAATGCGCACAGATGATGTTGTCATCAGCATATTGGAGTTCTATAACAGATGTTGTTGTAACCTTGGTTTTGGCTTTCAGTCTGCTGAGGTTAAATAGCTTGCCAGATTATTTGCACTGGTGGGAAGCTTCCCATCAACAAGATGAAGTATACATAGTTTTTAAAAATCGTTACATGTTATTGTTTATATGTGAGTTATATTAATTGTATTGCTTTTGCTTATTGTATTTTTTTTATTGATGTGTTGTCGGGCTTGGCCTCATGTAAGCCGCTCCGAGTCCCCTTGGGGAGATGGTGGCAGGCTATACATAAAATTTTATTATTATATTATTATTTTTATTATTGACATAAGTGTGACTCATATTTAGTGTGGTTTAAAAATCTTTTTCAATGCGCATGTCCTCCAATATGAAAAAGCATTTGAGTTCTTAGGCAGAGAGCTGTAATGCCTCACCAAATCTTGTGATGCATAAGGATGCAGCCATGGCAGTTCAAGTGGAATTTCAGTGCTATAAATGTGCAAAGTGAATAGCCTCCAGGTCTTGCTAACTTGGGGTGATGACTTCTTTTGTTGAACGAATCCATCTGTAATGCAGTCTTCTCTTTCCAACTTAGTTTGTTGTTGTTGTGTGCCTTCATGTCATTTGCAAATTATAGGGACTTTAAGGCTTCCTATTCACAGCATTTTCTTGGCAAGATGTGTTCAGAGAGATTATAACTTTGCCTTCCTCTGAAGCTGAGAAAGTGTGATTTTCTAAGGGTTTCCATGGCTCATTGGGGATTTGATCCCTGGTATCCATAATTGTAGGGCCCCAGGTGGCGCAATGTGTTAAACTGCAGAGGGACTGAACTTGCTGACCGAAAGGTTGGTGGTTTGAATCTGGGGTTCTTTTTGTTCGTTTTCATGGTTTCCTTCTTTCTGTTGAAATTGTCCACATGCTTGTGTATTTCAATGGCTTCTATGGCTGATTTCTCTGGTTGAAGTAGTCTGCAGTGCCTTTCACGTTCCTTGATTCTTTGCGTTTGGTGGTCCCTATGTAGACTTGTCCACAGCTGCATGATACACGGTAGGCTCATAGCAGAGCACCTGATGAAGCAACCTGGACACAGCATTTATTTGAGAACACAGAAATGCTGGACCACTCTCACAACCACCATGTCAGACTACACAGAGAAGCCATTGAAATCCACAAGCATGTGGACAATTTCAACAGAAAGGAAGAAACCATGAAAATGAACAAAATCTGGCTACCAGTATTAAAAAAAACCTCTAAAATTGCAACAGCACAACAACAGAGAGGAAGCAGGCAGGGACATCTAATTACCTCTCAACAAAAGTTTGCTCCAGGCACAGTCAGCCCATTGTATGCTAATCAAGGTGGTCAGTTGAAACATTCACACCTAGCTCCAGCAGACAAGAGTCCTTTGTCCCACCCTGGTCATTCCACAGATATATAAACCCTTTTTCCTAGTTCCAACAGACCTCACTACCTCTGAGGATGCTTGCCATAGATGCAGGCGAAATGTCAGGAGAGAATGCCTCTAGACCAGGGGTCCTCAAACTAAGGCCCGCGGGCCGGTTACGGCCCTCCAAGGTCATTTACCCGGCCCTCGCTCAGGGTCAATCTAAGTTCTGAAGCGACTTGAAAGCACACAATAACAACAACAATCCTATCTTATCAGCCAAAAGCAGGCCCACACTTCCCATTGAAATACTAATAAGTTTATATTTGTTAAAATTGTTCTTAATTTTAATTATTGTATTGTTTTAAGTGTTTTTGCACTACAAATAAAATATGTGCAGTGTGCATAGGAATTCATTCATGTTTTTTTCAAATTATAATCCGGCCCTCCAACAGTTTGAGGGACTGTGACCTGGCCCTCTGTTTGAAATGTTTGAGGATCTCTGCTCTAGACCATGGCCATACAGCCCGAAAAAACCTACAGCAACCCAGTGATTCCGGCCATGAAAGCCTTCGGGAATTCATTCATGTTTTTTTTTCAAATTGTAATCCAGCCCTTGAACAGTTTGAGGGACTGTGATCTGACCCTCTGTTTAAAAAGTTTGTGGACCCCTGGTCCAGTGTTTAGTTTTTTGGGTGAATATGTGTATACGAAGAGCAGGAGAAAGATAGAGAATGCCCATATTGCAATTTGAAGTGGTTCAGTCTAACATGGATTTACCACTTTAATGAGAACTAGATCCCAGAAAGAAGGAAGTGTTTGCTTCCTATAGAAAACTATCCTCTCTTGCTCATTATCCCTGCTTTCTTCACCTTATAGGTGTCCATCAGGTGGGACAAAAATGGAGCATTGTTTTCAACTTTTCTATTTATGAAGAAGAAGAGCTGCAGCTCGCTGAGTTAAGACTTCACCTGCCCAGGTCTGGGAGGAACTCTTCTTTCAACAGTACACCAGTATCAGTGGAGCTGTATCACCAGCAGAAAATAACTTGCCCAAGTGGCCAAAACTGCATACACATTGACCACTTAGGCTCCTTTGGGGTATCCCCATCAGCACCTTCAAACTGGATAGTCCTGGAAGTCACAGAGCAGCTGCTGAAGTGGTTTGCCAATAGCAGTTCAGCAAAAGATCCTGCCAAGGAAGTTGTCAGTCAAAGACAGCAACATACAAAAAATCTTCCAAAGACAGTAACCAGCAAGTGTGGATCTGTGGATAGAAGGGCCATATTGGTGCTTTTCTTAAGACTTTCCAAAGGAGAGAAAGAATTACATGGCCCGACTTTACTCCAGACAGTGAAAGGTTCAAAATTCGTTCAGCAGGAGACACCAAAAAAGATAGCACCCCTCTGGAACAGCAAGAGGCACAGGCGCCACAAGAACCCCAAAGATTCATCTTCACTGAGCTCGGAAGAGCTAGAACTCAAACAGCTCTGCCGAAGGGTGGACTTCTTTATTAACTTTGAGGCGATAGGCTGGGATTCCTGGATTGTATATCCCAAGCAATACAACGCCTTCCGCTGTGAGGGAAAGTGCCCTGTCCCACTGAGAGAAGAATTCCAGCCAACAAACAATGCCTACATGCAGGTAAGATTGCCAAAAATAGCTTCTAGATATTTTTGAACAAGGTGACCTGAATAATTAATTTTCTGCTTGGTTAGGAGTGGTGTGTAGAGGATTCTTAGATGATCTTGTGCCCAGTCACCTTCATGGGCCAAATAAATGCTCTTTATGTGGGCACTGGTATAGAGAAAACATTGATCAGTCATGTGGTCAAAGTAGGCTGTCTATGAACTCTTGAAAGACGAGGTACTCAACCCAATACAACATAGAAAGGATATTAGAAGCTTCCTTACTGTCATATTCTCATCCTCCTCGACCCTAGTATTTCAGGGCCATTAAGAATTTCATTGTAAAACAATACCTCAAAAGGTACTCAAATGCTCATGAAGTCCCAAACTCCAAAGCCAGAGCTGAATTTAAGAGTAATAATAATAAAGAATAATAAAACTCTATTTATACCCCGCCACTATCTCCCCAAGGGGACTCGGCGCTGCTTACATGAGGCCAAGCCTGACAACACATCAATGATCAATAAAACAAAAAAAGCAAAAACAATATAATAAATAATAATAAATAAACTTTATTTATACTCTGCCACCATCTCCCCAGCGGGGACTCAGGAGCGGCTTACATGGGGCCAAACCCGACAACATATTAATAAAACAAAAAACAAAAAAACAATAAGCAAAAACAATATAATAAATAATAATAAATAAACTTTATTATTTATTATTTAATAATAAATAATAATAATAATAATAATAATAATACTTTATTTATACCCCGCTAACATCTCCCGAAGGACTCGGTGTGGCTTACAAGAGGCCGAGGCCCAACACATCAATAAAACAACCTCATAACAAATGCAACAATAAATAAATTCATAAAACAAGCAATAAACATTAAAACAATAGCAATAAACATTGGACAATATGACACATTAAACTAAGGCTGGGCCAAATGTAATGATTAAAAATTTGAAAATGCTGGGCATGACAGGTGAAATGGATAGGTTTTTGGAGATAAGTGCGGTGTGCGGACAATCTTAAATCTCTAGTAAAGTGCATTTGGGACATGATGCTTGGAGTTTCCTATTCTGGGAAGGCACACTGGAACAACCACCTCTTCAAGCTCTTCCTAAAGACTGCCAATGTTGGGGCTTGTCTGATGTCCTTGGGGAGAGAGTTCCAGAGTCGGGGGGCCACCACGGAGAAGGCCCTGTCCCTCGTCCCCACCAATCGCGCTTGCGACGCAGGTGGGATCGTGAGCAGGGCCTCTCCAGATGATCGGAGAGATCGTGTGGGTTCATATACGGAGATGCGGTCACGCAGGTAGGCGGGTCCCAAACCGTTTAGGGCTTTGTAGGTAAGCACCTGCACCTTGAATTGGGACCGGAAAATGAATGGCAGCCAATGGAGCTTGGAGTTAGGTGGAAAGGAGTAGTAGAGTTGTGTGTCATCTGCATAGAGATGGCACCCAACTCCAAAACTCCGGATGACCTTTCCCAGCGGTTTCATGTAGATGTTAAAAAGCATGGGAGACAGAATAGAGCCTTGCGGGACCCCACAGGTCAAAGGCCAGGGGTCCGAGCAGGCATCTCTCAGCTTCACCATCTGGGATCGACCCTCCAGGAAGACCGGAGCCATGACAGAACTGTGTCCCCGAGACCCATCTCAGAGAGTTGTCCCAGAAGGATACCATGATCGATGGTATCGAAAGCCGCTGAGATGTCCAAGAGAACCAACAGGGTCACACTCTCCCCGACCAGTTCCCTGCGGAGGTCATCCACCAAGGCGACCAAAGCCGTCTCGGTGCTGTGGCCAGGCCTGAAGCCAGACTGTGACTGGTCCAGGTAATTGATGTCATCTAGAAAATGTTTATTTAAAACATTTATATTCCACCTTCTCACCCCGAAGGGGACTCAGAGCAGAGCACAGCATATACACGGCAAACATTCAATGCCTGGATACAATACATAAACATTAAAAACATTTATCAAAATATTAAAATACACCATTTAAAATAACACCATTTAAAACCGTCCTATTCAAGCTGCTACATTCAAGTCGGCCCTGTCATCTTTCCCACTTCCGCTTCATTGCCCTGTCCCGAAAGCTTGGTCCCATAGCCAAGTTTTTACCATCCTTCTAAAGGACAGGAGGGAGGGGGCCGACCTGATCTCACCACGAAGGGAGTTCCATAGCAGGGGAACAATCACCGAAAAGGCCCTGTCTCTCGTCCCCATCAATCGCGCCTGTGACAATGGCAGGATGAAAAGCAGGGCCTCCCCGGAGGATCTTAATCTCTGTTATGGTTATACCCCGCCACCATCTCCCCAGCGGGGACTCGGAGCGACTTACATGGGGCCAAGCTCGACAACACATCAATAAAACAAAAAAAATAAATAAATAAGCAAAAACAATATAATAAATAATAATAAATAAACTTTATTTATACCCCACCACCATCTCCCCAGCAGGGACTCGGAGCGGCTTACATGGGGCCAAGCCCAACAACACATCAATAAAACAAAAAAACCGAAAAACTATATAATAAATAATAATAAATAAACTGTATTTATTTATTTATTTTATAGGGGCTCTCCACTGCACACAAAATACATATACACAGACTGGGCCACAGCAACGCGTGGCAGGGGACAGCTAGTTAAATATGAAAACAGGTAGCAAATTCAAGACCTGAAGATCTGAATAATCTTAAAACGCTCACTTTGCAAATCAGGATTTTCTGTGCATGCCCGGTGCCCTGAAGAAAGGACAACAGACACCACTTGAAAATTGCAAAGTCCAGACCGCTCCCTCTATCAGTCGTTGTTACAAATGCCTTGAGGCTGGGAGGCCTTCTTAAGCACCATTGCAACTCCTTGGATGAATCTGTGACAACAATGCAAACCATAAGATACCTTTAATATCTGTTTTTTTTAAAAAAGGGAGGAATGGCTACTGCAAATTTGGCAGATACATCTATGTATTTTGAAAAGTATCAAAGCTTTATTCGACAACCAGGGAGTTAAATTGCTTCTTTTAGAGATTGCCAATTAAGATGTTTATCTAGCCCTAGCATTTTCTTGGTTAACTTAAAGACTTCAAAAGGTAAAATGTTTAAAAGTCATTTTGACACGGTGATTTCAGTCACGAGGACGCTTTCAGCATGACCTTATTAATGGCTACGAGACTCTGTTTTCCCTCAATTATGAATGAAATAGTGATTCCTAGAAGTTGCAGTCTCACATCAAACTTCTTCTGAGATTGCACTCTTTAACAGAATTGAATTGTGCATCTATTTACACTGCACCCTTAAAAAAAGAATTTGGATTTCTTTTTTTAAACCTCAAGTGGTTTGAGAAACATTTTGAACAAACTGAGACAACAGAAAGAACCAGTGATAGTTATGAATCCCCCCCCCCCCCCAAATGTTCTGCGTTGGTGCAGTTTCATTGTTATTCTCAAGCTAGCTTGGGTCCTCGACGTTGCCTGGGTTATTTGAAAAAGCCAGTTTTTAATTGTACAAAATGCATAAGGTTGTGGATTAACTACAACTGACAACATGCTAGGTTAACCCCGAGAAACTCCATCAGTACTTACAGTTTGTTATGTTGGGCAAGTTTGCTCTAGAGATGCATCATCGGTGGAGTTCAGTGTGCTCTCTGGCTGTAGGGCAGTGGTTCTCAACCTGTGATTTCCCAGGTGTTTTGGCCTACAACTCCCAGAAATCCCAGCCAGTTTACCAGCCAGTTAGGATTTCTGGGAGTTGAAAGCCAAAACATCTGGGGACTCACAGGTTGAGAACCACTGCTGTAGGTTAAACTACAGCTCCCACTATGGTGAGTCAGTTCCCTCAAACTCCTCCAGTAGGCTGAGTTATTTGTGGGGTTGTGTGTGCCAAGTTTGATCTAGGTCCATCATCAATGGAGGTCACTGTTTCTCTGGATGTGGGTGGACTACAACTCCCAGAAAGGAAGGTCAGTACTTCCCCCCACCCCCACCCCAGTAATGAAATTTCAGCATATGTATGCCAAGTTTGGTCCAGATTAATTGGTGTTTGGACTCAGTGCTCTCTGAATGTAGGTGAACTACAATTCCCCAAAATCAAGGTGAATTTTCCCCCAAAACCTCCAGTTATTTTTGCTGGTCGTGGGAGCTCTGTGTGCCAAGTTTGGTCCAAGTCCATCTTTGGTGGAGTTCAGAGTGCTCATTGATTGCAGGTGAACTATAAATCCCAGTACTTACAACTCCAAAATGTCCAGGCCAATTCCCCTCAAATCCCAACAGTATTCAAATTTGGGCATATCGGATCTGGATGCCAAGTTTGGTCCAGAACCATCATTGTTTGGGTTCATAGTGTGCTCTGGATGAACTACAACTCCTATAAATCCCTCCAAAGACCTCCAGTATTTTTTGTTGGTCATGGGGATTGTGTGTGCCTAATTAGTTCCAGGTCTATCATTTGTGGAGTTCAGAGTGCTCTTAGATTGCAGGTGAACTATACATCCCAGTACCTACTACTACTATAAATCATGGTGAATTCTCCCCAAACCTCTCTAGTATTTTCACCTGCTGATCGGTGAAGCCCCCGGTGGCGCAGTGGGTTAAACCCCTGTGCCGGGAGGACTGAAAGCCAACAGGTCGCAGGTTCGAATCCGGGGAGAGGCGGATGAGCTCCCTCTATCGACTCCAGCTCCTCATGCGGGGACATGAGAGAAGCCTCCCACAAGGATGATTTTAAAAAAATCAATTCATCTGGGCGTCCCCTGGGCAACGTCCTTGCAGATGGCCTATTCTCTCACACCAGAAGCAACTTGCAGTTTCTCGTCGCTCCTGACATGACAAAAACAACAACAACAACAACAACCCTGCTGATCAATTCCTTTGTTTGCCGTGTATAAAAAAGAATAGGAAAAGGTTAAGGGGGAGGCCGTGGTTGGAGTCATGCAAATTTCACACCAGTGGAGTCAGAAACACTGGGATGTCTGTGGTGGAGGAAACATAAAATCTAGGACGAAATTCGACAATACATAGGACGAAATTGTCCCTTTATGAAAGCCTTCACTTGGGTGGTGGGCACTGTGGTGTTTGTGGATTACATTGGCAGGGTTCTTGTGCATATTCATGGTGCTCACTATAATCTGCAATGTCATTGGAGGGGAGGGCATTTGGTGTCTCATTAGTAGTGAGAGCTATAGCCATTTGTGGAAGCTGGAGCTTGTATGTGTACGTGGACACCCCAGCCACATACACACATACATGCTTTAACTTTTATTATGTGTATAGATTCACTTGCCTCCTTCCTTCCTGTCTCCATATCTCCTCTTATTGTCACTTGTAAACAATATCAAGACATTGGTTTTTTTCTGGTGGATAGAACTGTATCTGCTGATGTATCTCTTGATGGAACCCATCCTCCCTCTCCCTTTGTTGTTCTTGTTAACCAGCTTCAAGTTGACTTCAACTTATGGTGACCCTATGAATGAGAGACCTCCTAGTCATCTTATCCTTAACAACCCTGCTTAGGTCTTGCAGACCCAGGACCGTAGCTTCTCAGATCAATTCTGTCCATATGGAATACAGCCCTGCTCTTTTCCTACTACTCTCCCCTTTACCAAGCATTATCATCTTTTCTGAGTTATCTCTTTTGATTATATGGATAAAGTATGACAGACTCAGCCCTTTATGAACCCTCAAAACCTAACCTGTTTTTTTTTTTTCCCTGGCAGCAGGGAAATTTAAAAATGTGCTTTTTGCTTGTGCCGTGTTGGATTTATGCCATTGTTTCATTACACACCAACTTTGTAATCTCCATGCTCCAGAGTGGTGACTAAATGGTATGATTGCAGTAAATGCCACGAGCCCAAGTCATAATGTGAAGTTGATGATGGCTTTGGACAAGGAAAAAAATGGCTGCTGAGCTGTCTTTTCCTGAAAATGATTTTCCTTGAAAAGTTAACTAAATGTAATGAATTGCAGTGTGATTGTAATGCAGCCAGGTTGCTCACTGGAGCGGCTCACAGGGAGCTTACAACCCACTTGTTATGCCAGCTCCATTGGCTGCCTATTAGCTTCTGAGCACAATTCAAAGTGCTGGCCTTGACCTATAAAACCTTAAATGGTTACAGCCCAGTTTACCTGTCCGAATGTATCTCCCTCTACGAACCCCCAAGGACCTAGAGAGGCCTTGCTCTTGGTCCCACTGCCATCACAGTCGTGTTTGTTGGGAATGAGAGGCAGGGCCTTCTCAATGGTGGCCCCTCAGCTGTAGCACTCCCTCCCTAATTAGATCAGATCTGTCCCCTCCCTCATGACCTTCCAGAAGAAGCTCAAATCCTGGTTATAGGATCAAGCTTTTGCAGAATAGATTGGTTTAATGGACTGTTTTTAGCTGATGGCAGTGGATTGATTTAGAAGACAGCGTGAAACGGCAAACTGTTTTAATGTATTTATAATTGTTTTAATGTATGCTAAAGTATATTATGCTTTGTTTTTATTGTTTGGCACCAAATGGTGCCTGTTGGTAGCCGTCCTGAGTCCCTCTTCAGAGGTGAGGACAGGATAGAAATACTCCCAATAAACCTATATAAGGTCTGTGATTGGCCAGCCTCAACATTCTAACATTATAATTGTCACTGTGGTATAATTTGCATATGGTTTCTGATTGGCCAGCCTCAACCTTCTAACATTATAATTGGTTGCCACTGTGGTATAATTTGCATATGGTTTCTGGTAGGCCAGCCTCAATATTCTAACATTCTGATTGGTTCCCACTGTGGTATAATTTGCATATGGTTTCTGATAGGCCAGCCTCAACATTCTAACATTTTGAAGTGGCTGAGAGGGAAAAGGTAAGGGTCTGAGGCTTTCAGGAATGGTGGGAGTTGAAGTCCAAAACACCTTGTGGCCAATGACAGAAGTCCAAACTTAGCACACAGACACCCCCCCCCCCAAGACCCACTCTACATCCTGGTGCAGTTTGAGGGAGCATGGACTATGGATGATGGGACTTGCAGTACTTTAACTCACTTCCTTAGACCACACCAATGACAGATCAGGACCAAACTTGGCACACAGAAGCCCAATGGCCCACTTTACAATCTGGTGCTGTTTAGGGCAGGATGGGCCACGAATGATGGGATTAGCAGTACCTTCACCCGATTCCCTTCCCACAGAACACTGCAACCCCTACAAATCACAGACCAGGCCCAAACTTGGCACACAGAGTACTCATGGCCCACTCTACACCCCGATGCAGTTCTAAGGGGGATGGACCATGGATGATGGGGTTTGCAGTACTTTCACTCACTTACTGAAACCACTGCGACCATCATCCAATGACCAGTAAAGGCCAAACTTGGCACAGAGAGCCCCCATGACCCACTTTACATCCTGCTGCAGTTCTAAGGGGGGTGGACCATGATGATGGGATTTGCAGTACCTTCACTCACTTACTGAAACCACTGCGACCCTCATCCAATGACTGATCAAGACCAAACTTGGCACACATTACCCACACTAATAACCTGGGCAGCGCCGGGTCCCCAGTCTAGTAATATTTATTTATTTATTTACTTTGCTTATATACCGCAATTCTCAGCCCAGTGGCAACTCACTGCGGTGTACAACATGGAAGACAGCGTGCAAAATACAAGACATAGTGTAAAATAATCCACAATTCATCGTTATCAAAAAACATCCTCATCAAAAACATCATCATTACTAGAAATGATGAATAAATGCAAGAGATTGATAAGTTATCGAGAAACAAAACCCAGTCTTTGTGTTCCACCTTATAAATGTTTACTAACTCTTAGAGCAGTGGTTCTCAACATATGGGTCCCCAGAAGTTTTGGCCTTCAACTCGCACAAATCCTAAAAGCTGGTAAACTTTCTGGGATTTCTGGGAGTTGTTGGCCAAAACACCTGAGAACCCACAAGTTGAGAACCGCTGTCTTAGAGGAAAATGCACTTCTCTTCCAGAGTGTGCTGAAATATCATTACCCTGAACGAGTTCCTGCTGCCTGCTGCATCCCAGTGAGACTGAGCCCACTAAGCCTGCTCTATTATGAAGAAGGACGGGTTAACCTAGGTCATCATGAAGATATGATAGTGGAAGAGTGCGGATGCCGCTGAGGAGACTGCGGGAAGTGGTGGAAGCTTCCATTTTGGCCCTTCCTAAACTGAGAAGATAAAAGAAGACTTGCCTCATGGACAAGAAAGCTTGTGAGCTTTGACCTGTAATGAAGGTGTCGTTAAAATTTGATGCTGAAACCAGCTGGGAAGACAGGCCCAGCCTGTCATGGGCTGCCAAAGGTATTTGTTTTCTATCCACCAGTCAAAAGTGAGAATGAAAATTGGCTGTCTGCTGAGAAGTAGAAAATACAAGAATTAAAGTAGACTGTAGAAAGATATAGACTTCACCATGCAGCGACGTCTCGCATGATCCCAAGTGAATGCATGGTCCTGTCCTTACACAGTGATATCAGTCATGATCTGGAAAACTGTTCAGCACCAATAAATATCATTTGCTGTGCCAATGTGGCAACAAGTGTCGTGATCTTAAACTTTGAGGTCATGGGGAAGCTTACAGTTTCAAGCACCCGATGGGACAGTGTGTGCTAGACATGAACTAATCCTATATGTTTACATTTTTGTCACACAGGTAAATAAAAGTCGGATTTGATAAAACATTTCATTTCATTGCTCTTAGCTAGTGAAGTAACATTTAATGGCCTGTTTAAAACTAGGGAAAGTATTATTTCTCCTAGTACCCCAATGTACGAGGGTTGAATGAAAAGTAATGCCTCTACCTTCATAACTCAACAGATGGCAGTACTGGTATGTGGCATGTACTGCTTGTTCAGTAGACTCTCCCCTACAGTTCCATTTTGGCAGGAAGCCTTATCATTGAGTGGTTGTGTTGTTAAAGTGCAAAGTATGGAACCCTGCACAGATGATTGGTCAATGCAGCTTAAGCAATGTGCAGTGATTGAATTCTTGACAGCATAAGGTGTCACCCCAAAGGAGATTCATCAGAGAATGCAAACTGTTCTTGTGATTGTGTTGATATGAGTACTGAGCGTTGTTGGATGGGTAAGTTTAAAGATGTTGAGGTGGGAACATCTGACTTGCGTGACAAAGAGTTGGACGTCCTGTGACAGCAACCACTGAGTTTCACAAGCAATAGGTTGACAGATTGATTCAGGACAACTCTTTGTTTGTCACGCAAGTCAGATGTTCCCACCTCAACATCTTTAAACTTACTTGCCCAATGACGCACAGTACTCACATCAACACAATCACCATAAACAGCTTGCATTCTGATGAATCTCCTTTGGGGTGACACCTTCTGCTGTCAAGAATTCAATGACTGCACTTGCTTAAGTCGCATTGACTGACTGTCTGTGCAGGGTTTCATATTTCGCACTTTAACAACACAACCGCTCAATACTAAGGCTACCCGCCAAAATGGAACTATAGGGGAGAGTCTACTGAACAAGCTACCTGCCGCATACCAGTACTGCCATCTGTTGAGGAGTTACGAAGGTGGAGGCATTACTTTTCATTCAACCCTCGTACTTAAAAAAAATAGAAATATTTTAATAATTTAAAGGCAGGTCTTTTTATGGAAAAAATGTATGATCTTGATTGATAGTGACTGAAAAAGAGTTGACAGATGATCAACTAATAGGCTGCATGCTATAACAAGTTCCTCAAATCCGTCTTCTTGCAGGCCAAGAATTCTACCAAACTTGAATGAAGATATGACCAAAAAGGTTACCTGTAAATGTATGCACAAGAAAGCTAGGTTGCAGGTGACATAAACAGCTCACATACACCTATGTTCCTCTTTTTTTCATATGTTAATGCCCAGTATGTGCCCAGTACTGTGAATGCCCAGGCTACGAAGTGATATCAATTTTATTTTAAAGGTTCCAAGCATCCCTAAACATGGGTGTTCATCTTTCATGTTATTATGTCTCTCTATCTATGTCTTGTGATGCAACCTCCCCAAACTCACCTTGTAAGTAGCACAACCCCACCCTGCCAACATGTCCATCACCATGTCATCAGGACGTGCAAGGATGAGCTAAGACAGTATCCAGGGGTTCTTATGAATTCTGTAGTTAATTAATCTGCAGCATGTTTGGCTTCAAGAAAGTAACGGGATATGTCCCTATGTATCCCCTGTCTCTCTGGCAACACAGAAGTGGCTATGCTGGGGAGCTGTGCTGCTTACAAAATTATTTTGTTTGGTAGCAACATGCTACAACCTGGTTGTTGCATGATTTGAACAGAATTCCAATTTATGCAATAACCATAAAAATGAGTTGCAACGGCGTAAATCTGACCAAAATAATTGGCGAACGGGCCTAAGTCCTCCTCTTCCCCATGTCTTTAACATTTATGGCCCCTCCCTGGGCAAACCCCATCTTGCTTGTGCAGTGTACTTAGAATACACTTCAGATTATTATCATTATTATTATTATTATTATTATTATTATTATTATTATTATTATTATTATTATTATTAGAAACACAACAAGATGAGTCTACAGCAGACACTCGGCTAGCTGTTGAATTGGATCACACGTCGGACACTTCCCAAGTGTCTAGGACTGTGTGATGTATCGGCGAATAATGCATTCAGATCCTAGTAAGGTGGCCTTCTGCAACTGGCAGATGGTAATTTTGTCAGCGCTGATTGTGTTTAAGTGTAGGCCAAGGTCTTTAGGCACTGCACCCAGTGTGCCGATCACCACTGGGACCACCTTGACTGGCTTGTGCCAGAGTCTTTGCAGTTCAATCTTTAAATCCTCATATCGTGTCAGTTGCTATTATTATTATTAATAATAATAATAATAATAATAATAATAATATATTATTATATTATATAATAATAATATAGTAATAATAATTATTATACCATATTATTATAACATAAAAAGGAGTTGCAACGGTGTAAATCTGACCAAAATAATTGTAACTCACAAATAGGATGTCAGTCATTGCTGTTATGTTCTGAGTGCAGATGACAACTCTCTCTAGAATGTTTGTCCGGTCGCACGCTGGGCCTGTAAAGACTTTCCTTTAGAACAGGATGTGCAACCTTTGCCCAGTGGGAAGCCAGGGGCCTAAAGAGAAGTTCTCAGAGGGTTTTCACCACAAATAGTCTTTAGATGGCTTGTGAAGTACAACAAAGTCTTTTATTAATGAACAATCAAACAGAAACTTCTCTTGTCTTCAGTAAAGTTAAGCAAATGATTCCAAGCTTTTAGGCAACTGGTGAATTCCTAATCTTGCCCACGAAGGACAGGCAACTGTCTTCAATAACTTCTTCTTTAAAGGAAAACCCCTTTTTAACTTCTCCCAGGCTGACTGTAATCTAACCCTTACTGTGGGCTCCGCTACCGGGTCGAACTGCTTCTCAAACGCCAAGTGGACCTACCAGTAAAGGCTTAGATGTTCTCCAGCTGGAGTTCTTTGGTCTTTAGGGCTGTTTCTCTGGAAATCTTTAAGGGTTGAAGCTTTTGTACAGGGGAAGCTTGCACACGTCCTATACATTTGCTTTCCTTGCTGAGACTAACTAAACAGTGGCTCCCTTCCCAATTGCCCTGAGCAAGGGGCGGGACCAAAACTTAACGATGATGGACAGGTGACTTGCCCTATGACTGCAACCAAAGGAAGCCACCTATCTGCAGAGTCCCTGAAACCTAGGACTGCAATCAAACATTTAATACAAAGCAAATAAAGTTGGAGCTCCTGGTACAGCTGTACCAGAACAATGTTCATCTATTAAAACTGTGTCCTGCCTTTAATTTTCATTTGTCCTGTATACTTGAAAACAACAGAATAGATATTCCAGTTGAGCTATTCCAACATGATGATAGTCATGTTGACTATCATCGCTAATAGTCAACATGGGTTTATGAAAAACAAATCATGCCAGACTAATCTGCTCTCTATTTTTCAATAGTTACAAAACTGGGTAGGTGCAGGGAACACCATGGATGTAGCATATCTGGGTCTCAGTAAGGTCTTCGACAAGGTCCCCTGTGACCTTCTGGCAAACTATCTAGTCAAATGTGGGCTAGGCAAAACTATGGTTGGATGGATTTGTAATTGGTTAAGTGAACGAACCCAGAGGATGCTCACCAGTGCTTCCTCTTCATCAAAGAAGTGACGAGTGGCGTCCTGGTCCCGCTCAATATCTTTATTAATGACTTCTGCCTGGGGGGAAAATGCCTATCCACACATCTATTAATGACTTAGGGTTATTATATAGATGAAGGGTTAGCAGGCAGGATCATCAAGTTTGCAGACGACACCAAATTGGGAGGGATAGCTTCAGAAGACAGGAGGAGAATTCAAAACGATCTTAACAGATTAGAGAGATGGGCCAAAACTAACAAAATGAAGTTCTGGGGACAAATGCAAGATACTCCACTTAAGCAGAAGAAAATGAAATCAAAGATACAGAACGGGGGACGCCTAGCTCGAGAGCAGTACGTGTGAAAAAGATCTTGGAGTCCTCGTGGACAACAAGTTATGCATGAGCCAACAATGTGATGCGGCAGCAAGAAAAGCCAATGGGATTTTGGCCTGCATCAATAGGAGCATAGTGTCTAGATCCAGGGAAGTCATGCTACCCCTCTATTCTGCCTTGGTCAGACCACACCTGGAATCACACCGTGTCCAATTGTGGGCACCACAATTGAAGGCAATTGTTGACAAGCTGGAATGTGTTCAGAGAAGGGCGTCTAAAATGTTCAAGGGTCTGGAGAACAAGCCCTATCAGGATCAGCTTAAAGAGCTGGGCATGTTTAACCTGCAGAAGAGAAGGCTGAGAGGAGACATGGTGGCCATGTATAAATATGTGAGAAGTCATAAGGAGGAGGGAACAAGTTTGAACAAGCTCTGGAACTAGGACGCGGAACAATAGCTTCAAACTACAAAAGGAGATTCCACCTGAACATTAGGAAGAACTTCCCAACTGTGAGAGCTGTTCAGCAGTGGAACTCTCAGCCCCGGAATGTGGTGGAGGTTCCATCTTTGGAGGCTTTTAAACAGAGGCTGGATGGTCATCTGTCAGGGGTGATTTGAATGCAATATTCCTGCTTCTTGGCAGGGGGTTGGACTGGATGGCCCAGGTCTCTTCCAACTCTTTGATTCTATGATTCTTGAAGGCACAACCATGCCCAAAAGAAAGTGTCCTCTCACCATATGACCAAAATAATGACTGACGATTAGGCTCAGTCATTATTTTGGTCATATGGTGAGAGGATACTTTCTTTTGGGCATGGTTGTGCCTTCAACATCTGCCTTCAATTCAGTAGCTAACTCTGCAGAGTTAAGATGCCAGATGTCATACATTGTGTGGCAAAGGAGATAATTTAAAACACTGTTTCTCAAACTCTGCTCCTCCGGTGTTTTGTTGGATGTCAGCCCCCAGGAATCCGAGCTACCTTACCAGCTGTTAAGTAATTGTGGGAGCTGAAGTTCAAAGCATCTGGAGGAGCAGTTTGAGAAACTCTGCTCTAGACCATG